CCTCGATTTTAACTACAATTACATGGACACCAGTGTAGAGAACGGGTTCGGGCCGCAGTTCCAGAGCGCTAATCAGATGTCGCCGCTGCAGGATATTTTCATGTACCTACAGAAGCCGTATTGATTTTGATGAAGCGGGGCCTACAATTGCATTGCTATGAGTCGACGCATCGGACGGCAACAGGAGACCCAGGTCGATGAGTGTGCGTTTTCGATGCTGTGACAAGGAAAAGGGAAGGGGGATTTGCGTCGCGGGGTCCACCATTTGGGCCCAAGGCTGGGTGATTTGGGACCGTTGATATAAAGATGACATATATAGATGGAAAAAAGATGATGGGGCTGGTTTTGGAAGATAGAAATATGAAGAAGTTTGGTTTTTAATGTGTACAGCATGTATGTATAGATATAAATAGGTAATGTTGTTCACATGATGATTTTGAAGGGCCGTCTAAATCGTAATATTTGTTCTTTGTATTTTTAGTTTTATGTTAGTGAATTAAATGTGTTCTTTTCTTTTTTCATGTCGTGTGCCTTCCTACCTTTTCATATGTCTTTACAAAATGGTGGTTTGGTCCACGGCACTGAATTCAACATATTGACTCACCAACTTCGTAACAAGACTTGACCTTATACATTGAATGGATAAGCATTAAACGTGACAAGTTTTTCAATTCCAAAAAACGCTAGGCAAATGTTAACATGTCACTTCATCTTCACGCTTCACATGCTATGAGTTAATAAAAGAAAGTTAAAAAAAAAAACTTGATTTAAGGTTTTGTCGACGTGTTTAGTCCAGTGAAAAAATGAACTTGATTTGCAGATTAATAGTCTCGAACCTTTGTGACACTTAGAGAAAGCCTCCTCCCCTCATAATTTAAACTCATCACTTGCTAGATTTTATATGATATTGAGAATCGCAAAGTCTACTAATAAAAAAAAGAAATAAAAAATTGGGTTGAAACTGCTGGTCATAAGTTTGCAGGTTCTTATAATCTTGCCGGGAGAAAGTTGTTGCATCAAGAATGTGCTCTGGGGTTTACAGGCCACATTTTTAACTTTGAGGGCTACTTAGCCTTGGGCTTGGGCTAACATGGTCAAACAAATCTTGGCCCATATCCATTGTTGGTCTGGGATGACATTGAACCCGATTCTGCCAATTTAAAACTCTGGCACAAGCTTAATTTAAGTTGGGTCGAAATTTCAATTCAGAATAAACTTCTTTTTTCTTTTTTCTTTTTTCTTTTGATACAAATCATAACCTATACTTTACTAATTACGGGTATGAGAATCAACTGTAAGAGGGTGGACACACTGCTTTGACCAACTAACATAACTTCTTTATGTATAAATCTTCTCCACTATGGAGCCATAGCTTTTACTGCTATTCAGGATCAACTTTCAAGTAGCGTAGCACAAAATTATCATAACCCTAATCCATATGCTTATCTTTCTTATTAGATTAAAAGTCGTTTTTCGTTTTGTCACAAAGAAACCTTCAGAAAAACGTGACTTTTTGTTGAAGGTTCTTCAACTGAACTTGCGAGACAAAACTTCAGTGCTTGATGTAATTAAGTCAAGGATAAATCATTAAAGTAGGGGATAAAGAAAAATCATAATCCCGCAAAGCTTTCCACCTAAACTCTAGTTTACTTTACTAAACACCCAATTGACTAAATTGCTTACCGGACTTTAAAAAATGAGGCCATCATTTAAATTCACCACTTTCACCAAGAGCCACCCAAGTGATGAAATGAATGATGATGGCTTTTGAGATTGCACGCTGGGTTTTTAGTGGTTTTAATGGCCTCCATTAGCATCATTAATTCAACCTATTTGTAATTCCCACTTTATTTGTCAAATCAATTGGGTTTGAATTAAGCAGTGTAGATTGATTAGCTAATTGGTACCGTACCCCCACTAAACATCTCTCTATCCCTCATATAAATTTTCCTTTTTGTTTCTAAAATCACATTTGTTGTCCACGAAATTCTTGTTAGTACTTTTCAAGTTTTGTATGTGTGGCGTGTGCTCATTTCTCGGTTGGGATGGTTAGACGAAATTTCTTCTATAAAGGTTGGCACATGTTTACGCGTTATTGTTTTTAGTGAAAACTTTCACGTAATGTGACAGTAGAGACTACATGAATGTGGAAGTAAAACATGGAAGAATACATGAATGACCAGAATGATGACTTTTGCTAATACCAAAAACCATTTGCAATAAAAACTCAATCAAATCTTGTTGGTATAAATTTCACTTTTTGTCTCTAAAGCTTGACCTAAATTCTGGCTTTACTCCTATTAGCATATGAACTCGTTTACAAAATACACATAAAAACAAATTTATCTCTAGTGGTAGATCACTTACCATCACATCCAAAACGCATAATCTTTTTCTTCTTCACACCTTATCTCTTGTTCTTGGCCTAACCAAAGATACTTGTAAATGTTGTAAGTGGAGGTTTAAACTCTACGGATCAAATTTAGATCCAAAAATCAATTCTTGATGTGAAGGTTCAAGATCAGACATGCCCCATGTGTTAAAATATAATAGGATGTGGGGGGAGAACCTAGCCTGGTATTATCTACAACTACTGTTTGATGATGATGTTTCAAGAGATGCAAGATTTGGGTGCGAATAAAACAAATTGTTTCGGTGGCAAATACATCTTCATTTAATACCCTTTTATTTATGAACCCCGCAAATTAATAATAATAGGATATTAATTCGAACATCTGTGGTCACCTGCCTTCCAACAAACCACATCATCATATGTAATATCTGTTCTATCAGATTAACCTAAAACCATTCTCTCGCAAAGCATGTCCGTTATGTCTTACGTTCTGGATTGATCTGCTAGTCCACTCATAAATCCAAATGTAAAGCTCCATACAAGCAATGCAATGAAGGATAAATTTTCGTGTATGACCGTAACGATACCACGAGAAGAATATTGTATTCTTTCCTTAATAGAATGAGACATGCATTCCTCGTTTTTGCAAATCATAATTTGATACATATTCATTCGCACACATATCAAACTGTAATTGACAAAAAAGTACTAGCTCCTACATCTAAAAAAAAGTATGTGAGTATTTTTTAAATGAAAAATTATGCGTGTTATAATTTGAATGGATCGATTACACTACATCTTTGTATTACAATCACAAGGAAGAGTTACTCAAATGTAAATTGTATAACACTTTGAATTATGAGATAATAATTTTGTTAGAATGTGTCGATCTAGAGCATTGAAGAGGTACATTTATATTTGCATATGTGCTCTATATATTTTTTTCATTGGAAAAAAAATACTAGTGTTATTGATCAATAAATATTGATTGATAGCTCATGGATTGGTTGTTCAAGATTGTATTCTTCTTGGGTCCACCTAATGCTTGACCAAATGGCTTATTAACATCCACATTATATAATATTAAATTATTTATATAAAGTCACACAAATAATATATATATATCTAAACCATAGACATTGTTTTCACCAAGATTCATTTCATAAAATCAGGATTTTGTCAGTGTCACCCTTTCAATTTATGTAAATAAATAATTAAATATAAGCAGAAATATTTAAATTAAACAAATGAGGCAGGCAGACATGCAGATTAGTGTATTATTAAATTTTTATTTTTCACTGATCTCCAGGATGATTAAATAAATTGGGAGTCCATAAGCTTGTTCCACACTGCATCTTGGCGTGCTTAAGAAAGGTTTAAGGCGCTGGGACAACACTATTAAATGCAATAAAATCGTTGTAAAGTGGGAAAAAGGAAAAGGAAAACTTTATTATTCGAGAATTAAACCTTTACTTTAGGTTGCCAACTTGACATTTTAATTTCAGTTTAAATGCATGTATGAACACGTCATGAACTTCATGCACAAAATTCGTAATGATTTGAGTGTAGTTGTTGCTAAGTTAAAGAATCATCAAGCTTAATTGAATGCTGCAGTTGAGATGTTAATTATGTGGCAGCTTTAAACAAAACTTTTTATCCCCTAAAATGGATGACATATATGTTATACAACTACTTTGGTTTACACGAATAATGTCCTCTTATCAAACACGTTAATTGTTGTGTCGATCATTATAAAATGAAATCTTAATTATTTGTACATGTGATCATATTGACATGTTTAACGAGGCTAAAGAGTAATATAAACATACACGAGAAAACTACTATTATCAGTCGTATATAACATATTACACTACAATTCACTCATTTATAATTCAATAGGTAAAATTTAAACGTGTGATAATATTAAAAATGGGGCTATCTGAACTCATTATTGAATCTAGGGTCCATATTTCAATGATTTTCGAAATAACATGCATAATGAAACGAAGAACCAACACAATTATTGTTATTTAGAATGTGGGTACAAGAAAATTATAACTCATAAAACCCACCTTCTTCCATGTTTTTAAAAATAACACATTTACCGTTTTACCCTTAGCTTGAACTAAATTTCACTACATGACAACAATATGGCAGTTGAAAAAACAAAAATATCCCCATCAAAAAAGAAGAAGAGAAATTAATAAATTAAATTAACGAATTTTCAAAATAAAAGAAAAAGTAATTGGGGAAAAGACAGTGAGAAAGAAAAACAAAACAAAACAAAACAAAATGCACACACACATGGAAAGGAAACGCAAAGACTCGGAGTCTCTCTGTGTGTCACTCTGTCAGCCCTCCATTTCTTCACTCTCACTTTCTCTCTGTCTGGTTCTTCCTTCTTCGCCGTGGCTCTCTCTCGTTAAGGTCGTTCTTGGGCGGGCGCTGAATTGTATTGATTTCGAGGCATTTATGTTTATGCAATTTCTTCTTCTTTTTGAATGATTGTGTAGTTTGATGACAGTTGGAAATGGACGTTTTTTCTTACCCTAGATTCTGTGATGCTGCTGTGATCTGATCTGCGTAGTTGTTGTTATTTGTTTTTATTTGCTTGTGTTTGTTTAAATTTGTGAATAGTCACATTGTTTGTACTGAATTTTACTTGATTAAATTGGTAATTATTGCTAATTGTGATGTATAGGCGTAAAGATCTGACTTTTTGGTTCAATATTGATCGGTGTTTGATGTGCAGAGTGTTGGGGTTTGATTTGGACTGGGAAAGGAGTTTGTATTGTTTGAGCTGTCACTGTAGCATTTGTACTTTTGTGAACAGTGTTTACTTGTTTGTGAAGAGAGAGTGGGTGTGTGTGTCTGTTGATGGACAACTAGGGATTGGATGCTGAGGAGCTGAGGTTGTGATGCTACTCAGGCAGAACTGCTGGGTTTTGCAGTAATTGGAAGGAAGGGAGTTCTTCGACATTTGCATTGGTGGTGAGGTATTTTTAGTTGATCTCTCCAGTATTGGTTTCATTATTATCTATTTTTGCCTATGTTATTTTCGTGTAAAGTGCCTTTATTTCAGAATGCGGGAGCAATCCTTAGGGCCATGATTTTCTCTTTTTTATTTTATTTTATTTTAGTTGAACAAATAAAAAGAGAGGGAGGATAGAATGAAGAGAAGAAAGGTGAGGTAGAGGGCAAAGAGTATATAGAACAAAACTACAAACCTTATATATAGATTTCAGATTTTTGTGTTCAAAACCATTCCTTGTATTTTCCTTATTTCGATGAAATCTTGTCAAGTATATGCAGCTTCAGGAATCAGGTCACTCAGTTTTAAGGTCGATTCAGTCAATGAACAATTAAAAATGAATAGTTGAAAGGTGGTTTATTTGTGGTGGGGTTCCACATTTGATCAAATTGTATGCCTATCCCGATTTTCAGGTGGCCAAGGAGAATTCTAAAAGTGGTGTATGGTGCAAATGTCAAAGTCTCCCTCCCCTCAACCGCGAGAACCCATATCTCCTTCTACTTCTCGCTCTAGGTTAGCTATGCTCTATTTGCTCGGTCTCTTTAACTGTGGTGACAAACTGGTATTCTTAGTTCAGAAAATGAATGCTTCACTGATAAATTAGCCACTTAAGTGCTTCGTAAAGCTTTGTACACCAATAATATTGAGCTGGAAAAGCCCAATGAGAAGCCATTTCAGTGGGCTTATTAAAATTTTTATTTTAAAAAATTTAAAATTATTATCTCCTAAACTGTTGACTTTTACTTTTCAAGATATTCAAATGAGTTCATGTTACACACAGGGATGGAACAGCAATGGATGATGAAGAAGGTACAATGGCAAGAGTTGCTCAATTTGTCGAGCAACTACATGCCAGCATTTCTTCACCACATGAAAAAGAACTTATTACAGCACGTTTGCTTGGTATTGCCAAAGCAAGAAAGGATGCAAGAACAATTATTGGTTCGCATTCCCAGGCAATGCCATTGTTCATAAACATTCTCAGGAGTGGCACCCCTGTGGCAAAAGTTAATGTGGCTGCAACTCTGAGTGCCCTGTGTAAAGATGAAGACTTGCGTCTTAAAGTACTACTAGGCGGGTGCATCCCCCCGTTACTCTCACTTTTGAAGTCTGAATCAACTGAGGCTAGGAAGGCTGCAGCGGAAGCTATATATGAAGTTTCCTCTGGTGGGCTTTCAGATGATCATGTTGGCATGAAAATATTTATTACAGAAGGCGTAGTGCCAAACTTATGGAATCAACTCAATCCAAAGAGCAAGCAAGACAAAGTGGTAGAGGGATTTGTGACAGGAGCTTTGAGAAATCTTTGTGGTGACAAGGATGGCTACTGGAGAGCAACGCTTGAGGCTGGTGGAGTAGATATCATTGTGGGTCTTCTGTCTTCCGACAATGCTGCTGCCCAGTCAAATGCTGCCTCCCTTTTGGCCCGTCTCATGTTGGCTTTCAGTGATAGCATCCCGAAAGTAATAGATTCTGGAGCTGTCAAAGCTTTGCTTCGGCTTGTGGGTCAGGAAAATGATGTTTCCGTCCGTGCTAGTGCTGCTGATGCTTTGGAAGTGCTTTCTTCAAAGTCAACTGGGGCTAAGAAAGCTATTGTGAATGCTGATGGCGTTCCAGTTCTCATTGGGGCAATAGTTGCTCCATCTAAAGAGTGCATGCAAGGTGAGTGTGGGCAGGCTCTGCAGGACCATGCAACACGGGCTTTAGCAAATATTTGTGGTGGGATGTCTTCTTTAATATTATATCTTGGAGAACTTTCACAGTCACCTCGGCTAACTTCCCCGGTTGCCGACATTATCGGAGCTCTTGCATACACGCTGATGGTCTTTGGGCATAAATCTGGTGCCAATGAGGAATCTGTTAATGTAACAAATATAGAGGATATTCTTGTAATGTTGCTAAAGCCTCGTGACAATAAGCTTGTTCAAGATCGTGTCCTTGAGGCCATGGCTAGTCTATATGGCAACAACCATCTTTCCAGTTGGCTCAATCATGCACAAGCGAAGAAGGTGCTCATTGGACTCATAACAATGGCTGCTGCTGATGTGCAAGAGTATTTAATACTCTCCTTGACAAGCTTATGTTGCGATGGTGTTGGAATCTGGGACTCCATTGGCAAGAGAGAAGGAATTCAGTTACTTATTTCACTGATGGGATTATCCAGTGAGCAGCATCAAGAATATGCTGTTCAGTTTCTGGCAATCTTAACGGACCAAGTCGATGATAGCAAGTGGGCTATTACTGCTGCCGGCGGGATTCCTCCTCTGGTGCAGCTGTTAGAGACGGGATCTCAGAAGGCGAAGGAGGATGCCGCTCATGTGTTGTGGAATTTGTGTTGTCACAGTGAAGATATTCGTGCATGTGTGGAAAGTGCAGGAGCCATCCCAGCATTTTTATGGCTTTTAAAAAGTGGTGGGTCAAGGGGACAAGAAGCATCAGCTATGGCACTAACAAAGCTTGTCCGAACAGCTGATTCTGCCACCATTAATCAGTTGTTAGCTTTGCTCCTCGGTGACTCTCCAAGCTCAAAGGCCTATACTATCAGGGTGTTGGGTCATGTACTCATAATGGCATCACATGAGGATCTTGTAATGAAGAAACTCAACAGTATGCTGCTTCGGTCCTAGCTGATCTATTCAGCACAAGACAAGATATTTGTGATATTCTTGCAACTGATGAGATTGTGCATCCTTGCATGAAGCTTTTGACCAGCACCACACAAGTTGTTGCAACACAGTCAGCTCGAGCATTGGGTGCTCTTTCCCGTCCTTTGAAGACCAAAACAAGAAGCAAGATGTCTTATATTGCAGAAGGTGATGTCAAGCCCCTCATCAAACTGGCTAAAACTTCTTCCATTGATGCTGCTGAAACTGCAGTTGCGGCACTTGCCAATCTTCTCTCTGATCCGCATATTGCTGCAGAAGCCCTGGCAGAAGATGTTGTTTTAGCTTTGATAAGAATACTGGGAGATGGAACTTCAGAAGGTAAGAAGAATGCATCCTGTGCCCTTCATCAATTGCTGAAGCATTTTCCAGTAGGTGATGTGCTCACAGGAAATGCTCAGTGTCGTTTTGCTATTCTTGCTCTTGTTGATTCCTTGAATGTATTGGATATGGATGGGACTGATGCTGCGGATGCTTTGGAAGTAGTCGCACTTTTGGCTAGAACCAAACAAGGTGTGAACTTCACTTACCCCCCATGGTCTGCCCTTGCTGAAGTTCCATCAAGCTTAGAACCTCTTGTCCGATGCCTGGCTGAAGGGCCTCCTCCACTTCAGGATAAGTCAATAGAAATTTTGTCTAGGCTTTGTGGGGAGCAACCAGTAGTGCTTGGTGATCTATTGATTGCAAGATCAAGATCCCTTGGTTCACTAGCTAACAGGATAATGCACTCTTCGAGCCTAGAAGTCAGAGTTGGAGGAGCTGCATTACTCATTTGTTCAGCAAAAGAGCACAAACAGAAGTCAATGGAAGTACTTGATGTTGCAGGATATTTAAAACCGTTAACATATGCTTTAGTGGACATGATGAAGCGAAATTCTAGCTGCTCCTCTTTAGAAATTGAAGTCAGAACTCCAAGAGGTTTTATTGAAAGAACTGCATTCCATGAAGGGGATGAGTTTGATGCCCCTGATCCAGCCACTGTCTTGGGGGGTACTGTTGCCTTGTGGTTGCTATGCATAATCGGTGCCTTTCATGCAAGGAGCAAACTCACCATTATGGAAGCTGGTGGTCTTGAGGCTCTCTCTGACAAGCTTGCAGGTTACACTTCCAATCCACAGGTATAAAAGAATTAGTTTACACACACACACACACACACACACACACACACACACACGCCTACCGTTAGATAGGTTGTTCTGATGAGCACTTGTATACCTATATCTTTCGTTTTGCTGAATTATATGTTTGATCAAGGTATATGGATACTACATAATTTTGAAGAAATAAATCATTGTTGATCGTGGTGGATTTTAATATGCGAGTGATGCCATCTGTTCATCATAGAGAATCATACCCTTATTGAGAGATGCTAAGATGTTTATGTGTGCTACTTACATTCATTAAGAATATGAAATATAACTGAAAGTCTGATCCCTGAAATGCTTTCATACCCCCTGACCTCTTCCTTTCCCCCTTTATCATTTAGTACTGGCATTTTTCCTCTGGTGGTTTGGTTGCCTAAAATACCTTTTAACAAACACTATATTTTGGACATATTTTTCTTGCACTAATGAATTTGGATTGAAATCTGATTAGTTGTGATAAGGCGCTTCTCTTTGGCATATATTCTGTATATCGCGTCCTCTTGGTTTCCTTTCAATTTTATTTATAGGACAGCAACTACAAACTATCTTATCTCGTTCTACCAGGCTCTCAATAACCTTCAAATGACTCATAGCTGCTTTCCACACAAACTGCTATTTTGGTAGGGAACCCTACTAGTATCACTTGCTAGTA